GGAGATTAACCAGTCCTCATCTTGCATCAGATTGGCATGTGCTGAGTAGCACTTTCAACTGAGCATTTGGGGGGTGGTTTACTGGGAGAGAGGGGCACTGTCCCATTAGGCAACCCCCATGCCTGCCTGCACACACACAGTGCTGAAATAACCCCAAACTCTATAGATTTTTAATACTTTTGAAGGAGGACCCTACACCTGTCCCCCCCTTCTGTTGCACCCCAGCTCGCCTACTTTTGCACTGGGACACAGAGGTGGAGCCATCGAAGTCGGTGGTGGTGTTGCCAGGGCAGGAGATGCAGTAATTCTGCCGGAAATCGGGCTGGTAGGTGCCCACGGTGCAGCGGATGCAGCGGTGGACGCTCGTGTTGTAGTAGTGCCCAGGGGAGCACTGCACTGGGGGGTCAGGGAGCACAGGGGGCTGTGTCAGCTGCTGGCACAGCCCTGCTGGCTGGCCCCTTCCTGGGGACCAGCTCTGACCTACCTTTGGTGTCGCAGTCCTGGAAGGAGAGGGCTCCCTCATGACGGGTGGTCAGCCCCCCGCCGCAGGGGAAGCAGAGCGCCCGTCCCACCTCGGGCTGGTAGGACCCACGGGGACACGGCTGGCAGGGCTTGAAGCCATCGGCAGAGTGCTGGCCAGGGGGACACTGACCTGCAGGCACAGGCATTGTTCAGTCCTGGCACCCCGTATGCCTGGGGCTCTCCTGCCCCATACCCAAATCCTCTTCCCTCTCAGCCTTGGCAACACCAGTATACCCAGAGCAAGTGCTGCCCTTCCTGGGGTCCCCTCTAAATAATAAACTCCCAAAACAGCAAATTCTGTGGGTCTTGGGGATGCTCAAGGCTTTCCTGTCTGCTGGCTGATGGTTGAGGTTGCAGCCCTGGCCATGCCTCGAGTGTGCCTCAAGCCTGTGTCCTCCTTACCGGTGCAGCCAGTGATGTTGGTGGCTCCTGTGGGTCCGAAGGTGTCACCGCGGGGACACAGGTCACAGGAGAGCTGTCCCTCCTTCTCCTGGTAGGTGCCGGGGGGGCAGGGCACGCACTGCTCCGTCTGCCCATGGTAATAGGTTCCCTGCGAGCAGCTGACTGAGAGCCGGGGGGGACGTCGGTGATGCTGTGGGGGCTGTCACCGCCGGGTCCCCTCGTCACCCCACCACGCTCCTTACCACACTTGCTGGCCAGGCGCTGCTGGCCCGGCCCACAGCTCTCCTGCCGCTCCGAGGCCACGCTCAGCTTCCGGGCCACCTCGTACTCCATCCCTGAGAAGCGCAGCAGGAACCGCTCCTGATTGATGGATTTCTTCAAGGCTTTGATGGCTGACTTGAGCTTTTTCTCCACTCTCTGTCGCAGGCAGTGCAGGTTGCAGCTGGCTGGGCGGTGCAGAAGGGAATGGGGGAAAGGAGGAAACAGGGATGCATTAAGAAGGGGAAGCCCAGAAGCATTAAAACCCCAAATGCTCAGTTGAAAGTGCTACTCAGCACATGCCAATCTGATGCAAGATGAGGACTGGTTAATCTCCCCTTGCTGCATGGGGATGGTATCGTGTTCCTGGTCCCACCACCTGTGCCTGCACCCAAGAGGGGTCAGGCCAGTGCTGTGCCCACCTGTGATCTCCTCAGGCTTGATCTCCGCCTCAAACTCCAGTGTGATGCGTGTCACCTCTTTGCTGGGGGAGTTGCGAGCCCGGCGCCCCTTCCCCTTCTTGGATGAGTCACACTTGAGGTTGACAAAGGTGACCTGACAGTCAGAGCACAGTGCCGAGCCACCTGTGTGCGGAGGACAGGTCAGCAGCCATCCCTGCTGGGGGT